GGTGAGGAAGCCCTGGGATGGGGTCCCTAGGGAGGGGATGGAATCTCCATGCTGCCAGATTTTTAAGCCTGCAAAGCCCTGGCTGGGATGCTTGAGCTCGGGGTGCTCCTGTTTTAATCACGGGGTGTGTCTCGATGGCCTCCTGAGCTCTCTTTCCAACCTCATCTACTATAATTCTGTGAACGAACTCACCCCACGTCCCATGGTTGTCCGGGGCTTGGAACTGCTCCCTCTTCCCCTGGCACGCTCCAGAGAGGTATGGATGCCACGGGGGCGGGTCACGAGGAGGGGGTAGCAAGAGGCCCCTTCGGCTCCATGATCTCCTACCCTACGTTCCGTATCACTGCATCTCTCCACCGGCTGGCACCCTGGTGTAGTCCAGGACAAAGAGGTAGGTGTGCTGCTTCCCCACATCCCACCGCTATTGTGCTGGCTGAAAGTGCACCACAGCCCTCACCAGGCCAGACAGACTCTCTGGAAGGAAGCCCCGGATGAAAGAAACGCCCCCATTCTGGTCATTGGGGTGCAGACATGGATGAGCGTCAATGCCCGCCCTTGCGTGTGAGCCTGGCGGTACAGCAGGTGACCCTGTCACAACCTCGGTGGCTCCCAGCATCTTGGTCCGGAGGATGGGGGAGAACAGGTTGCCCTCCACAACCAAAGGTTCAATGTCCGCCCTTCTACGTGAGCCTGGAGGTACAGCAGGTGGGTCTCCTGTGGGAATATCGCTGCGTCCCCTCCCTGCCTAAGGAAGAGGGCGCCAGGTTTCCCAGCGAGGGCTGGGAAGGAGCCTCATGGGAAGGGGCAGGAGTCATGGGAGATGGGGGACTGCTGATAGGCCACAGGATGCTGCCTCCCAGTCCCCTTTACTCTGCTCTGAAATACCCCATGGGCGGTGGGACTAAACGGACGCCTCCCAGTGCTGGAGAGTGAGCTGCCTCTTGCCCTGGGAGCCACGGCTGTGCACCAGTGCAGCTCGTGCTGCGATGCAATGGGGGTCGAGGCCTCCCAACCTGCCTTTGTCCAGCAGCTGGGCCCTTGAAACCACCCGCAGCCCACAGAGACGGGCAGTTGGCAGCCGCTAGTGTTCCCAAGCCGGCATTGCACCCGCTCGTTTCTACGCTACAATGCGGTGCAGCCCACTGAGGTTAGAAGAATTACAAAGGCTTCCAGCTTCGAAATATGCTTTCAGAAATGTTTATTGAAGCAGGGAGATACATTCCCAAAGACCTAGAGACCTGGAATGCCCCCAGAAGCAAATTGTTTTGCACTAAAGCTGCAGAGTGCATGGCTGTTTTCCAGACTGGAGATATTTAACTTGTAGTCAGTAGGGTTCAGAGTTAACCAGTCTCCCTCCATCAGTAAGGCTGTGTCCAGACTCAGGGATTTTTTCGAAAAAAGTAGCCTTTTTTCGAAAAACCTCACCTGCGTCTAGACTGCAGCCGCGTTCTTTCGAAATTAAATCGAAAGAACGCGGCTTTTCTTTCGATGGCGGTAAACCTCAATTTACGAGGAAGAACGCCTTCTTTTGAAAGTTCCTCTTTCGAAAGAAGGCGTTCTTGAATGTAAATAGGGCTTCTTCGAAAGAGAGCATCCAGACTCACTGGATGCTTTCTTTCGAAAAAGCAAGCCGCTTTTTCGAAAGTTCAACGTGCAGTCTAGACGCTCTCTTTCGAAAGAGGCTTGCAGTCTAGACATAGCCTAAGGTGCAACATGAAGCTATTGATCTAGACTCCCAGCAGACGCAGGTAGGTGTGAGCCAAGAATATGTTTTCATTCTTCATGTAGGGGGAATACATCCTTCCCCATGTGATCTGAATGCAGCGTGATCTCCTTAGGCCTGCTGACAGCCAGAATCATAGCCCATGTTGTTCTGGGTGTTCACTCTGATTCCTGAGGGAAATATCATCATTTCTGATAGCAACTGAGCAGAGAAAACCCAACTGGATGGTCAGTGAGGCCTGTGAACTCATGATCCCATAACTAACCCAAGTCAGCTGGATAACTGTGCAACAGAGACGACAGTTAGGGACCAGCCCGTAAGGTCCCCCTGGAGCCCAGCCCACCCGCTGTGTGTTTAGAATCACGCCCATTTCTGGAGTCTTCAGGTTTCTTCAGAGGGTTAATCCCTGAAGCCACAGTGAGACATGGCTGAGCTGTGCACCTTTCAAGTGGTTACACCAGACCGATAAATACAATGGGTGGGGAATGCACTGCCAACCAATTGTTTGACTAATCGGTTGGCATTAGGACATTACTTAGGTCATCCGTTGGATGGTTAGTTGCCCTGGATGTATTAGATCAGTGCTTCTCAATCCACAGCCCATGGGTTGCTTTTGGCCCAATCAGCACACTCCTGAGCATCATACGACAACCTGACAGACGTACAGATAGCGCCCAACCATACAGTGGTCGGCTGAGAATAGGACACACACACACTGCTCAGTTGGCTGGACGGACGCATTGGATACTTTGTTTGGCAGGTAGGCTGGATTGGCAAAATACATCTTGTGTGGTTGTCTGGTTATATTGGAGCCCCTCAATATTTTCGTTGATTGGCTGACCAGATATTTCCTACGTAATAAACAAATTAATTGTTTGGCTGGCAGTCTGGCGTGTCACATTAACTGCTCTAGATAAATTCATTGGTTGTTTTCATGCACTGGATACATTCATTGCTTATTGTGTTGTGCACGTTGGATATGCTACCTAAATTCATTGGTAATTTGGATGCACTGGAGACAATCATGGGTTGGCTTGTTGTGCATGTTGGATGTACTAAAATACACCCACTGATTGGTTGAATGGATGGATGGATGAATGGATATGAGGGATGGACAGATGGATGGATGGACGTATATGGGGGATGGACAGGATACATTCTTTGGTCTGTTTGATTGGATGGATAAATTGGAGACACTAAATCCAGTTGGTGGCTTGTTGCGTCAATAAGTCAGAAAAACGGAACACAACCATTGGTTGGTTGCTTGGCTGGATGGGCGGGGGATGGACTGGTTGGATGCAGGAGATTTTTTGGTTAGATGGATATAGAGGATGGCTGCGATCATTGGACGCAATGGGATGCTGGATGCGGAATGGGCGGATTGCGATGGGGTGTTTCCCCAGAGGGAGCTGTGAGGATGAGGGGCTCACGGGAGCAGACAGTCTCTTACAGGCACAGGACACGCCGAATCCCAAGCAGGAGCGACAGCATGAAGAGCAGGATCAGCAGAGCGGGAGCCAGGAAATGGTCGGACAAGATGCGCAATTGACCAGTGCACACCCAGCCCCCTCTCCGATCCCTTAGCTAAGGGGCTCACCAGAAGGCCTTTGCCTCCTTCCCCTGGGCTGTGCTCTGCCGGGGGGGCTGGGAGACATAGTCAGAGCAGCCCTGACCCCCGAGGTGGGGCCCACAGCGCAGGCTGTACTGGAACCAGACACGGCCGTGGTTCATGTAGCAATCCTTCTGGTGGGGCCCCCCAGACTCCAGCGGGATGTCGCAGTTTCCCAGCTTGTCATCATCGAACTTGTTGTCCTCGTCCCAGACCTGCACGCGGATCTTGCTGGTGCTGGTGAGGCGGACGGTGCCGAAGTCCAAATTGGCATTCTTCCAGGTGGGATTGTCGTTGTTCCAGACGGTGTGGGTACGAATCTGCTTGTTCTCAAAGATGACCTTGACGAAAGCATCCGTATCAGTAAAGTGGTCCCCCCGCAGGCCACTGGCCCTCTGCACAGTCACCGTCAGCTTCCCCAGCCCACGTTTCCGCGAGCAGCACATGCCGTTGGTCACGGTGTTCCCGGGGCAGACACAGGAGCAGGGATCGTGGGCGCTGCGCTGGGTCCCTGGGGGACAGCTCTGGGTGCAATTCCTCCGCAGGGCCCTCTCAAGGATGTACTCACTCACCGCCCGCTTCAGCGCCTCCCTCTTCGGGTCGTCCTGCTCCACCAGGCTGTGGATGGGCTGCAGGGAATAGGACACCAGGCCTGGGCTGGCTTTGAGGCTCTCCATCCAAGCTGAGAAGACTTTGGCGTCCTGCCCGGAGAAGAGGATGTCTGTTGTGCTGTGTCCTCCCTCCACCTCCACGTGGCGCTCCTGATACGTCTCGTGGAAGCTCCCCTGAACCTTCCCCTTCTTCTTCGCCTCCTCGCACTTGCTGTACACACCCTTCTCCAAGCCCTTTACGACACTCACAGCCGCCTCCACGCTCAAACAGTCCTTGATCTCGTCGGCTGTCAAGCTGCTCAGTGCCGCTTCACAGACCCGCACGGCTGTCACGTCCCGCGCCCGGCCCCCCAGCCGCACCTGGGACACGTAGTGGGTGCCGTAGTTGCTGATGAGTTGCTGGTACTCCACCTTGGATTTGCTGTCATACTTCTCCGGGAGGTTCTCCAGGGCCTCAGTGAAATGGCTGGTGAGCGGGGGCGTCTCGCTGACCCGGAACCTGCCCAGGGACACAAGGTGCGGAGTGAGCTCAGCCTGGCCAGTCAGCTGAGATGGTTATCAGAGCATCCTACGGCCCCGGCCAACCCATGAGCAAAGCTCTAACCACGTGGCTCCTGCTCAGAGCAGCCTCCCCAGCCTGCTGCACCCACTGCCTTGCCGGGGATATCGCCAGATACTTGACAGTCCTTATGGACTTCCCATACTCTGGCCACAGCACACAGGAACCCTGACACACAAGAGAGGAAAATTCCCCCTAGCTCTCTGGTCCCAGCCCTCTGTCCCATTCCTGGCCTTCCTTGCTGGCCTGTCCCCTTCCCTGTGGCCAGCTTGGAGACATGGTGACACCTAGAAGGGAAGGATCCTGTGCTCCATTCCCCAGAACCAGTCATTCCCCCGCCCTGGCACCCCGCAGAGGGGAAAAGGCCCGTGTCCAGGAGCCAGCCTGTCCTGCCTCCCAGACTCAGTAGGAACCAGCAACTCCACCGGCAGCAGGTCACATGGGCCCATGACACCCAGGCTCTACTGACACTCAGGAAGGTGGCCTGGCCTCACCAGCCTTTGAGCAGATGGGCTGGTGGCGCCATGCCCCGGAGAATGCACAGGGAACAGTTCGTGGGGGCTGAACCAAGCTCCCCCACTCTGCCGGCCTCCCCCTTTGCTCTCCTACTGCTTCTGGAGTGCCTAGATAGCTATTGGATGGTGTTCAGGAAGCTCCAGGAGGGAGGAGGATGAGTGGAGACGGGGTGTACTTAGGGGAGGCGGTGGGGCAGACGTAGATCTGTACAAGGTGGGGGTGTGTCATGGTTACGAGTGATGGCCCGCAGCCTGAGGACTAAGGTCTTACCTGCGTCTCTGTACCTAGCCAGGTATTTGGCCAGCCGACAGAAATGCAGATAGGGATTTCAAACGGAGATAAAGGAATTTTTGGTTTTTCCCTCCTTCCCTCTGCCAGGTCTCTCTCTAGATTCTGAGGGAGACAGAAGTCAAGTCTCTCTCCAGCAAAAAGACCCTTCAAATTGTGTACGTTGGGCAAAGTGTCGATAAATCCGTTTTATAGTTGTCTGTTGTGGGAATTTGGATCTAAGGTCTGCGGGTTTTTAGTCCCTTTTGTAACTAAGAAATGAGCCCATGGGAATCCCCCGTGAGTTTGTTAATTTGTCACTCTTACCTTCCAAACAGCTTAATCCTGTTTGAAACTGTTATCTTGTTCTGATAATAAACGGTCTTTCTTTTTTACTAATCTGGTCTTGTTTCAGTTCTGCATCCTGGAAGATCTGTCTGGGGGATTGGCAGGCCTCTGACTAGGGGACAGTATCCACAGACGGCAGCTTGTATTTTCTCTTTCTTTTTCAAGCTCTTTGGCGAAAAGAGCTTGGGGTGACATGCGGGTGATTTCAAGTGTCCACCCCTGTCTGTGGGTCCAAAACCACTTGATGGGGGCAGTGGATTTTTATCCCCCAAATCTAGGTTTTTAGGATTTTGGGGGCAAGCTTTATACCAAGCCCTGGAGCGATAAAGCTTTGGGGTAGCTTTTCTGAGCCCCCCACTCTGCATTTATCGTGTGAGAATTCGCCTTGACAGAATGCGATAGAGGATGAATGGGGGAAGAAAAGAAGAGGTGAGGAGGGAGATTTCGGGAAGGGCTGGAGTACATGTGGGACCTGAGGCATGAGTGTGGAAGGCACCACCCAGCTAGAGGGGAAGTTGGTGCCTACGTCTGATTGGACCTGTTCCGGACACCACCAAAAATGACACAACCCTGGTGCACATGAGCACCCCGTGGCACTGTGCTGTAGCTGTGACCCCCATTCCATCTGAGCCCTCCCAACCCAGCCCGGCTCTCACCGATAGTAGCTGCAGGAGACCTCATGGCTCACAAAGCTGTATTTGTCCATCCGCGAATGCTCCACCACGAAATCGGCCAGTTTGGAGTGCGATCCGGCCAGCTCCACCTGGACGTTCACTTTGGGCTTCACAGGCACGTCCAGCCCCACCTTCCAGTCGTTCTGCACCGCGGACGCCGCTGACTCCATCATGCCCATCCCCGACTGCTGCACCGAGCTGCTGAGTTTCCTGCGACACAAGACACTGACCCGCCAGTCCACCGCTGCCAGCGGCAGGCCCTGCAA